TCTCGTTATTTCTACGTAACTAATATTTCAATTCGAGACACACACATGTACACACACACATGTACATACAAAATCTTTCATTTGACAATTTTGCAGGCTTTTGCACATATTTGTTTCGGGTACTGTACTTTCGCATCGCCGAAATAATTCATGAGACACCTTTCCCGGAACGGAACGTGCGCAATTTTATCAAATACCTCAATGTTGAATAATACGGAAAACGGAGGAAATATGCGTGAACATTCCAAACGAAATGTAAAACATATCTTACAATGGGACACATTTTGTTGCAATGTTTCCAATCGATAAAAAAAACTGTATGTGAATGTAAAGATCGCATGATCTGGCACGTGCACAGACACGCCTTGACACAATGAGTCATTACGCGCGGGAATTGTACAAGAGACACACATGGGCCGCATTGTTTCCCATAAAACATGCAAGGTAGAGATATACGATATAGTGAGCGGGGGGGTGGTGAACACGGTGTTGTGAACATATGGCGTGCAAAACATCGAAAAAAGATATACGAGTATACAAAACAAAATATATATATATATATATATATACCAGTACGAATGCGCGTAATATATTCATCTTCTATCAAAACAGAAAAAAAAAATATATCTTAGATACGGTGAAACGTACATCATGTCGTACTACGTAAATGCGCACGTGACAGTGTGATTGCTAGCTGCATTATTGCACCGATTTTCCGACATCGCGCGATCAGGCACGCTTACGCAATACAGAAACGGGGAAGAAATTACCTTCGATTTTCACTGACGATGACATTTTCGCAAATATCGGAGAATCGTTTGTTCGTTCGTTCCCAAGCCGTTTTCTCTCGTGAGAACGCACGAGACTTTCTTCCAAAATTCACCTCAATATTCTTTCTTTCTTTCTCTATCTCTATCTCTTTCTCCCTTTTTCTCTTCGAAATTATTCAGTTCTCTTGCTTCATGTATTTTCAATTATCTTATGCGCCGTATTATTTTTTGATTCTTTCGTGTCTTAGGCGCATATATATCTCGTTTCCATATATAGAAATTCATATCTTCATATTTTAACAAACCGGAACCGTACAAGTGTGTAATGTAACACCCAATAATAATTTTCGGTTACGGTTGCGTGATCAATTTCCTTTGTGTCGACTGAAATTAATTAATTAATTAATTCCTTCTCGCCGACGCTCTTTCTTTTTTTTTTCTTTTTACTTTTTTCTTCTCTTTTTTCTTATTCCGATAGAATTAATGTTTCTTTTTCGAAGTATCGTTTAATCGATTCATTTATCAAATTGATCCGTATTGATCTCGATTTTGTATCGTCGATTCACTCGTCGAACTATCCAATTGGTATCTCGCAACGGTTTCTGCGATACGTCCCCGGTTTTTGTGTGTGAGCTCTCGATCGCGTTACGGCACCGCGCTCTTGCTCTGCGGGGTTTAGATTCGGTTTCTTCACGCACGCGAACAAGAAAGTCCGAAACACCGATCCTGCCGGCGTAAGGACGCGCGTCACACTGAAACCAGAATTCGAGGAGAGAAAGCGTTCGGCCACCGATATTTCGCACGCTCCAACCACCCACCCTCACTGTGCCGACGCGGTCTCGGGTTTACAAGCGAGGGAATGCGCGAGCGCCGCTAGAAAACCACCCCCGCAGCGTAGCATCGAGTGAGTGCAAGCACCCAATCCAGAACGATGCGTTCTATCCCTACGATCTAGCATGGAAATGGAAACCAAACTATTTATTGAGTTTATTTTGTGTGTGTGTGTGTGTGTGTGTGAGCGATACACACAACTATATATATTACGGTACATCACTTGCGGGCGTGTGATTTCTTGTTATCGGAAATTTTTCCTCGCACTTTCCTCGCACTTTTCTCTCCACTTGCCTCACTTTTACATTATGTATTTTCTCTTTGAGTATCTGGAAAATAATGGATCTTCTCTAACTCTTAAATACACAAGAGGAGATAGAGAGAGAGAAAGAGAACTTATTCAAAATTTTACACGCAGTGTAAAGGTTTCTCAAGTATATTCGCGAGTATCCGGATATCGATCTCGATTAAAAAAAAAAAAAAAAAAACTCGAATCGGCAATATTCGAAAATATTCGAATAATTCTTGAATATGAGATTTTTGTCGATGAAATTTAGGTTTATTTGGATTCCTATATGATCCTCCTTTGTTAATTTTCCATCTACCCACTTACTCACCCCCGACCAAAAACCAACCTGACCCGACCGTGCTTCCCGTTCATATGCTTAAAAGCGAGCCCGCACTTTTTAATGTTTTTAGTCAATTTTAAAGGCACTTTTGCCATTATTCTTCTTTTTTTTTTTTTTTTTGGTCAATCTAACTTACCCCGACCTATTTAAAACTATAAATGTATCGCGATCAACGAACTTCTTGCGCTTCTGATCCGCTGGTCAAGGAAACACGCGCCGTTATTATCACGCCGTTTGCGAAATATGATTTCGCGTAATCAGCGTAAAGAACGTGTTAGAGAAACGAGAGGATGTGTTAGAGACGTCAAGAAACGTTTCCGCTTAATTTCGTGCCGCTGTTAAGCGGGATTAGAAACACGATGAAATTTGCGCGCGATCATCGAGGTATCTCTTCTCCCCTTTTCTCCTCTCTACCTTCTACCTTATCACGAAAGAAGGGGGATGAGTTTAATGTGGAGTAATAAAACCGGCGCGAGTCTGATCAATTTGCTGAGTAATACCAATCGTTTCTAAAGATCGAACGCTCGTGAGTAGTTACGGTCGACGCAACGACCAGATATACAAGTAGTTACGATCGATACATGAACCGTCGCGCAGAAATTGATGTAAAAAAAAAAATAAAAAAAATAAATAAAAAAAAAAAAAAAACTGGGACGATTCTTCTACTCGCGTCTCTTCGACGTTTCGTTCCCGTCGACTTGACGTTCGAGCCTCTCCCGTGCCGCGATCGGCGTCGCTATCTTTCACGCGATCAGATAATTTTTTTTCTCTTTTTTTATTTATTTCTTGTTTATTTCTTTTCGTGTTTAAAGTCGAGTTTGATTTTTAGTTCCGTTGAAACGCGAATTTCGTCGAGGAGTTTTGAAAAAATTGCAATTACAAATAGTAGTCACTTGCCGACGGCGTTTTTTTTTTTTTTTTTTTTTTTTTTTTTTTTTTTTTTTTTTTTAAATACTCTCACGCTTTGTGTGCGCTCGCCAAGGCAAAAAATTTTGAGAGATACAAAGCGCAATAATAATCCGAGCAGGTTGCATTATGCACAACGGCAGAACAAAAAAACAAAAAAAAAAACATTTTTTTCGCACCGCAAAGAACGGGAGCCAGGTGACGAGTAGCGAAGTTACTGGGTCAATAAAAATCGTAGAAAAGGGAACGTCGCGGGAACGGGAGGAGTGCGCGAATAGAGAAAACATTTTTGAATGACACTTCTATTACGAGAGTGCGAGAGGAATCCATTCTCGCGCGAACAGACGGCGTCGGGGAAAAAAGGAAGGACGAACCGGCATGAAGAAACGAAAAGTGAGCAGATGAATCTTCCGGGTGAGATTCCTCGAATAGTGAATTTAGAGCGCTAGAAACTCCCGCGAGCGCAACGATGATACTTAAAGGGATGTGTAAATATCACGCTCGAGTGGAAAAACTAACAAAAGCGAAGCGCGCGAATTCGAATCTTGATGTAATATTGCACAACGGTGAATTGTGACAACGATAAATAAACGGGAGATAAATAATAATACTGTAGATTTTTAAGAAATGCTTCAATTTGTACGAAGCGAACGTGGTCTGCTGTTCGGATCGTTTATCTGCGAAAACCTATCACTGGGGCATGCGACTTTTATTCTCATTTCCTCTCGTCGCGCGGCAGATGTCTATCCGTTTGTGTGTGTGTGTGTGTGTTTTTCTTCCTTTCTTCCTTCCTCCTCACCAACCGGTAGTGAATCTCACAACACTCGTCTATCCCTTTTATGTCTCTCTCGCTCAAGTACTGAAATCTTCACTTTTTCTCCCGAGCACCAATTAAGACCGTTTGTTTCTCGATATCTCGTCCGATTCATCGAACGAGATTCGTGCTAGAGCGAGGAAAACGGAATCATGTGAACTGCTGATTGATTATCGGTTTTGCGGATTGACCTGTTGTAATTATTTCGATTCCACATCGCTCTATGAACAAGATGCGACGATAGGCGTCTAATTAAGACAAATGTTGTATTTTTAATTGGGAGAGAAATGGTACGTGTGTGCGGCATTTCTCTCTCGAAATAAAAATAGTGACATTCAACATTTTATGTATATACCTACAAAATCCGCTCGCTCATTAAATGAACGGTACGTGTGTGCCGCTCGCTGTTTTATTAATTTAAATTTTATAAAAGCTGTGTGTATTAAGTAATTTTTAAATAATTATAAGTATCGAGTAATATAAATTTTCTCTCTGTGTTCGCTCACACGCGCGCGATTGTTTCTCTCTGATATAAATATCAAATATCAGTTTTTCATCATCCGCCGCGCATTGAAAATGACAAGAAGCTTCTTTGAATGTTGTTTGAAAATAGCACGCGTACGCGTATATAAACACGTGGGCGCGTTAAAGCAACATGTATATATATTAAACAATCGGATCATTTTTCACAAGAGATAATGAGGTTTTGATAATCACTTTTTAAAATTATTTCCCACAAATTTTGTATAAATTTATATTTGCATGTATACACACAAACGTTTGCTAACAGAACAATTTGATTATCGTTAAAAGGTCATTTTCTCTGAAGCTGTATTAACAAATGACTATTTCACAAACTTACGCAAGCTGTTAAAACTGCACCGAGCGTGGCCGTGTGTGCGACATTTATGTGAAAATGTCAATTCTCTCACGATGTTTGCAATAACATCGATTCAATTGTATATAAATATCACGCTTTAGAGAAATTAGTTTGTTTAAGATAAAGAGTCTTTCGAGCAACTGAAAAGAGAATGTAAGAAAAGTACTCACCAAGTGTTGCTTGATAAAAAATTCCAGTGAAGACACCTTTCTAGACCTCAAGTGCTCGTATCTATCCTGTTGCTTTCTTTCGTGAAACGAAAATATATTGAACGATTAGTTAAACGCTTTCTCTTAATCTACATATATACATACATATATATATATATATACGCGATGTATTAAGTTTGTAGAAGCAACGGTCTTTATTTCTACGTTTGAAACTGTGTGGCGCACAAAGCCGAAAGAAGAGTCCTCGTATTCTCGCAACGTCGAGTGCACGTAAGCGCAGTTTCGTGTGATTTAGGCGTTTGTTTCACGGGGGAAACAAACTAAATTGCCGTAGCGCACGACGGACTTGTGATTTACTGAAGCGCATGCGAGAATTTTGCAACTCTTGTTTCGATATTGCCGTGCACACGCTTGCGGCTAGCTGCAATACACGTGCTCTTCTCCAAGAGAGCTATTTATTTCGCTCAGACGTGTTTAATCGAAAAAAGCGACACCTCGAGAGGGAAAAAAATTGCGTTACACGCCACCGACAAATTGTCCCGCTAACTGATTTGCAATATTCGCACGTGTGTGACACGTCTGTAAAAATCATTTTCAACAAGTAAAAAGCGCAGACTTTTGGAAATAATTGATCGGAAGATACAAATCAAAAATTCGCGTTATCTATTTAGAGATTCTCGGGCACAACAACGCGTGAAAACTAATTTGTTTTTGTTTTTGTTTTTTTCATCTCTCTCGTATATTTTATATAAATGTTTTTTTAATCCATCGCTCTTTGACTAATTCAGTGATTTACACTGGGTAACAATTTATTGACCTCGCCTTCTATCTTCTCTCTCTCTCTCTCTTTCTCACGTTTTTCAAGTGCAATTTATTATTCTGCCAATGAAGGCGGTCGCGAAACAAGTGTCCGCGTGGAAATCAATGGGGCGACGTTTTATCGTTTTCCATTGACAAAATAGATTCGTGATAAATCTTGATAAACGATTACGAGAACGTGAGCAATCGTAATGTCGTTTTCTACTTTGTTTTCTCTTTGTTTTCTCTAACCGCTGGTTTAAAATGCGTTACGAGCGCAAACTTTGCGGAAAAAAGAATTGCGAGAAATAATACGAGAATAATAATTAAAATGATTGATGTTTGTGTTGGTGAAATTGAACGCGAAAAGAATTCTAACAAAAACACGAATTATTACGCGTAATTACCGTGAAATTATGATAATCACCTGACAATTATGGAGAATATAATTGAATTAAATTACGCGCGCGATCGCGATTAAAATATATGTTATATTGAGTGAACAAAATATGCTAATATAAAGATATGCTGTCGCTTGTGTAATATTTAAGAAAAAAAAACTGTCATCACACGTGATAAACGTGCAAGATAATCAATTCTACTTACGATAACATTTTCGTTTCGCTATTTGCATCGATGACAGCGCGATTCAGAGCCGGAAGACTGCTTGCTTCCCAAAACGGATTACTTAGATCTAAATACAAAACCAAAATTATTATTATTTTTTTTTTTTTTTAAGAAATGCGTACTGACATAGTACTAAAAATAAATATGCGCGCGCGCGCGCGTGTATGTGTGTGTGTGTACCTATATTGGAACAGTAGCAATCGCTCTGTCGCCTGTAACGCAGCTCCGGCGAGTACGAGAGGGTCTTCGCACTTCGAAAATTCGTGGCCTGCAAAGAGCGAACGGATACATCTCATAAATCTTGTCATAAAGTTTGCTTCGTCTACACACACACGCGAATACGGTCCTTTATTAATAAATAATTTTCGCCGGCAAACAAAAGAGGAATAGGGCCGCAAATGGAAAAGGAAAATGATGAGAAGTTATACGCTCTTCATATATAGACTACACTGGTTTTCGATAAAAAATTTATGCGATTCTCGTTCGTTTTCCTTTCCTTCTCGTCTTTTCTCGTGTCAGATTGAGATTTGCGCACCGTTGTGCGCGCGAAGAACACGGCCCGTGACGTTGTGAATGTTTCTTATTTTCTTATTTTCTCCGTCTTCTCCCATTTGCCGAGAGACGAGTTTTTTGCAAAACAACAGAACGCACACCTTATACACGCAGAGCGCAAAAGCAGAGCGCGATATTTAAAGCTGCAAAACTCGTTTGTTGTTTTATTAAATACGCTTATCTTCTTTCCATCAACAATTGCGAAAGGTACAATTTTGCCCCACCATCAGAGCGACAGTTAAAAAACGTTTGCTAATGCATCACTTAAACGGTTGTATAAAAAGCGTATAATTTTGTTCTGAGAACATTAGAAAAAATTAATACAAAATATATACGCTTTTTATACAATCGTTTAGTGATGCATTAGCAAACGTTTTTTAACTGTCGCTCTGAAGATATTATATATTTATCATATATGTATATATATATATATTTAACAAATATTTATATAACAAATTCATATGAAGAGAGAACAAATTGCTTAAGTGCTTTACGTGAAATGATCAATCGATAGGTACTAGTGGTTCCCGAATGAAACCCGAAAGAGCTTGAATAATTGCTCTTAATTGATCCCGTCGTATTATTCGTGAAATAATTCCATCCGATAATAACGTATCAATCTCGAATTTACCGCAAGAACGCTATTTCCGGGATCGGCCGATTCAATTATTGCGGATTTATAAAAGCCTATGTGATTGCGAGACTTAATAAATGTGTATCTCATCAATAATTGCCGGGAGAGACTCGGGAGAGAGAGAGATAACCCACACCGCGAGAGAGTTTGAAAACTCTCGCGTGTCAAATTGTCAATAAAGAAATCCACAAATGATATAAAGCTATATAGGATGCGCGAAACGCGATATCGTTAGGTATGCTAAATGTGAAACGCGCATGTGGCACGGGCGCGCATCACAAATGCTCGCAGTTAAATACGGTGAAATACTTAGTCAGCTTCGCGTGCATGATGCAGATCAGATTATATCTCAAAACGTCACGAGTCAGGTGTTCGAATGCGCCTGGCGCGGAAGAATAATAGTTCCTCGATTAGAACTCAAATTAGAGGGGATTTCCCCGTCGCAAAATTCCTCCGGTTCACGGTTATTGAAAACGGTTTTCTCTATAATCTTCAACTATGTATACGTGACTTTAACTTCAACTCGCGCGATCGAAGTGTTTTTCTACGAGAGACAATAAAGGAACAAACTCGCGCGCATTTAATAAACGCCGTTCGTCTTTTTTTTTTCCGTAATTTTCCAAAACAAAACAAAACCAAAAAAAAAATTGAAATATATTTAGTTCAATGATTGCTTCAAAATTCTATCGCGAGCTTACTCGAGTATTGCAAGAAGTTTTAGTTCGATAAAAAGTTGCAAATTGGATAAATTCTTCAGAGCGGTGAAAAACTTGTGTATATAGGAGAAACTTACGCGGCGAGGTAACGATATAATTTATGTCGAACTTTACAAACATAAGAAAATTGTTTATACCCTTCCACGGTTGTTTGTTGGTTTGTTTTTTTGTTTCTTTTTTTATAAACGAGAGATACATACGAGAGGTTTCTCTATCATACTGCGCGTTCTGGTGACCTGCACTCTGCCGTTAACGATATCCTTCTCGTCCGTCGTCTTTTTGTACGCGATTTCAGCTTCGTCGACGTGCTCGTCCTCCGCCAACGAGCTGAGACTGTTGTACCACTGCATGCTGCTGGTTCTGTAGGGCTTCTTCGTCTCCCCGCGATTGAGATCCTTGAAACTCAGGCTGCGTCTGATCGGTTGCAGACCGCGATTGATCGCCGTGGAAAAATCGCCCTTGGTTTCCTTGAATAAAGCGCCGAATTTCTGACGGAACGACGTGCGTCGCTCGAGCTTATTTCCGCTCGCGTCGTTTGCCTGTCTCGAGGAACTGCTCACTTTCAGGTCTGATTTTCTAACGCCAGAGGACGCCTGACATTCTGTCTCAAACAAATAATGCGATATTAATTTTATAATGTATTTACACGGCAAGAGAACAATACAACAGATACAATATATAACGAGACGTTTAAGGAAAAACAAAGTGCTTTCCATCAAGAACTAATTTTCAAACAACTAAATGAGCAAGATTAAAGCCAGTGTATTATTTACAGTCGAATATTGTATTTTAAGATCGTCTTAAATTCATCTTCAGGTAGTTAATAAAACATTCTGCGTTTTAAGATGAACTTAAGACGCAGGACTCTCGAATATCAAGAGATCGGACTATCTAAATTCTTACAAACTCCGGACCGTGTTTTACTGTAATGAGATTTTATGATTCTTATAAATGCGTCATATTTTATTTACAAAGATAAAGTTATAATGAGCGAAAGAGAAACTCTATTTTTTTTTTTTTTTTTTTTTGAAACTTCTTGCATGTTTCGAGAATTCTTGGAATATCAATATCCAGCGCTTTGCGCACCTGATTCCGATTTCGCGTGCTTGCATTCTTTCGCGAGATGTTCTTGTTGCGACACGTTTGCACTCCCATCGTTGCTGTTCGCTGCTGCTTTGTGGCCGGACTTGCTTATCTTCTTCGAGGTTCTCTTTCCGTCCTTCTTAAGCGTCATTTTCCGTTTAATTCTCGCACTGATGTCAATCGATGTCATTCAGACGACGGCGTGTAATAAATAATAACAACGCAAATGACACCACTTTTTTGTATAATATTACTCGACGATCACAACTTTTTCATCGTGTGTTTTTCCACAATCGCGCACAATTTGCGTAAAAGCAAACTGTATACGTGCGTGTGTATGCGCGCGTGTGTGTGTGTGTGGGTGTGTGCGTTGTAAACGTGCCAACTGTGTCATAAACGTATCACTCCGATAACGACCGCGTTATCGTCGCGCCGTGTATCAGCTATATCGGTAATATCGCGTTAATTCACGTCTTTTTGCTGTCCGTGTATTTAGCAAAGCCCACAAGTAGGAGATAAAATCGGTCGCGCGGTCAGAAATTGAGAAATTTCTTTTTTTTTTTTTTTTTTTATCGTTCTTGCGTCTAAGCCATTGATCTTATATTTACAAACTGATGCGTTCGCTACTGTTTTTTTTAAATGTGCTTTCAATGTGTATTTCTTACATCAATATACGCTGCGCAGTTAGACAAAAACAATTTGTTCGAAAGAGCGAAAGCACTTCTGAAACACGATAAAACTTTTGTGTTTTTCGCAGAAAGAAATTATAAACCACTACAACTTACGAAAACTTGTTTCTATTTGAATATTGTACGTAATATACGTGCGAGGAACACAATATGCGTACGTACATATGTAATGTATTCATTAAAAAAATTCGAGTTATCGTAATTTAGACAGACACGTAAGAACATATTTTTGTTTATCGAGATCGAGATTCGTAAGACTCGTTCTTTACGCGTTGCCTGTTTACATTATCAACTATTGTATGTTCATAATTTATCTCGCGGTTCCAATCAAGAATGACCAATTACCGAAACAAGACTTTCCTTCTAGGTCTAACGTTGCTTATCGCATATTGAAGAAAAAACATTCACCGTGATGTAACATTTTAATTTAATAGTAAAATTTTTAGGTATAAACAATTTTACATAAAATTGTGCTTTGCAAAGTTTACACGTGTAATTGTGTAGTCTATTTAGTCGAAGACACAGTTTTTTTTTTCTGGCAAATATTTATTTATTTACTTGGTTATTTTTTTTTTTCTAACCATTGATTTTCCTCAGGCCGATATTCGCGGTCGCATGTCTTATGTATTGTGAGGTCTTGTGTATCATCTACGAGATGTTACAACGTTTCATTATGGCTAGAAATTATTTCAAGATAAACTTAAGAGACGATCTTAAATATAAGATCCTATTATATGAATATCGACCCTTTTAGTCCACTATTAAGAACTTCACTCTCTTATCGAAGATCTCACAGGGCTGTATTCACAGTCTCTAATCTCAGATTTAAGATCGTCTTAAAAGTTCATCTTAAGACGCCGCCGTCTCATTATGCAACGTCTTAAAAGATAAAATAAAAATTTAAAAGGCGCTCTTATAAATATAAGATCGGACTATAGATACCCCGGCCACTGGACTTTTTGCATATAATCTATCTAAGTTTGTTGCGACACATCTATACGTGTGAAACTACCGATTTGTCGTTAATCGTGAAACACTTCGATAGTGGATGTCGTACTCTTCGTTCTCTCTTTCTCTCGATTCCGTCAGAATAAAACGGACACGTCTCAAAATTATCCACCACCGCGAGTATAAAGCTCGCGATCTCGGTCGAATGCGTGCATCAACAGCGCATTAAGTTGTGCGTTTTACAATATCGCGCAGACTTATCGGTTCAGAGATTATAAGATTTATTAATCCCGGTTTCGCACACGAGATAAGCCCGTGTGTATACAGAACGGCATTTCATTATCAGACAGCCGCACGGCGGCGGGTTCACAGGTTGCGCACGATAATAACGAGAAGACGCAAACGCGACATCATTGCCAGTGACACAACGTGAAGACAACGTGGCGACATATCGTAAGAATGTCGTAACAAAATAAACCGTAATCTATAAATATCGACACAAATATATTACACAGTTTCGCATTTTATTTCACACAGTATATTCTCCTATGTTTCTTGTTCGTCGTGCAGATACTCTTTGTCTTTTCTTCAATTTCGTCAGCTTCAATTTTTCTTCTGCTTGTATAATATCGATTAGAAAAACTTTTTAAGATAACATCTCTCGCTCAAATCGAAGATTACTTTTAACATCCCGACACTTGACGTATGATATTAAACACACAGAACAATATTTCATATTGCGCCATAACATCTTCTATATATGTTGCATTCCAATCTCTACTTCCACTTCCCAACTGAGAATTCAGTTAATCGTGCGAGAGATAATCGAACAGAGACAGAGACAGAAGCAGAGAGAGAGAGAGAGAGATCCGTCGGTATCTGAAACAAATTCCGTGATCACATTTTTGTTCACTGATGACATGACACCGGAATATTTTTTTTCCGGATCGTGTTAGCGAGCGCTTAGTCGCGTTAACGTAAAACCTCGCGACAGCGAACTAAGCAAGAAATTAAAGAGACAGGTGAAGCGAGCGTGGTTTGTGATAAGCGTTTATTGGTTAGAGAGAAAGAGAGGGAGAGAGAGAGAGAGAAAGAGAAACGTGTGTGAGAGTGAGCGGCTGCACACAAGCGAGAGGAAAAGTACAAATGTACGGAATCGTCGATTGTGAGAACACATTTTTGTATGAAACGATATTATCGCTCAGTGACGCTCAAGTGTGTTTAGCTGTAATTGCACAACACACACATACATGTTACATACCCATTTACGCGGAATTAACCAACAGTTTTTTTTTTTTTTTGCAATTATCTTACTTACGATCATATATGTATGTACATGTGTATGTATGCACATGATTATATATATGTATGTACACAAAAAATTATATTAAAAATTTTTAACATACAAAAAGAAGCAAGAAACATTATACAAATATAATTATTTATTAAAAAATATTTTTAAAATATTTAAAAAAATATTTATATTGAAAATAATTTTAAGTCTCTACATTAAAAAANATTAAAAAATATTTTTAAAATATTTAAAAAAATAATTAAATTGAATTTAATTTTAAGTCTATATTTAAAAAAAAAAAAAAAAAAAAAAAAAAAACAATAAAAATTTAAAACGCGGTGAAAGCGAACGCGAACTTGGTTCCATGTAAAACCGAAAGATGTCTGCGCGAAAAATCTGCTTTTTCACAGTTTTTAAATAATAACTACATACTGTTCTAAAATCGAATCAAAAAAAATAATTCAGACCACCTGACATTGTAGATTCCCTCTCTCTCTCTTGCACAAAACAAAAATCCACAAACACCTCATTAGAGACGTTCGTTAGATCGCACGAAGCTGGGAACGTCTAATGACGTTTTTGTTCTGCGTGGAGCAAAAATATTCAAGTGATGACAAAGTCCGTTTAAATAGAGAGATCTCACTTTTCTATATTTATACACAAGTTTTTATTTATACTCACTTGGTTCAAGTGCGCTGTCGCATATCCTTGATTTGACAAGGTGACAAATGAGAAAAACAACGTGCAAATTATTTGCTCGGATGAGATTTTGCACAGATCGACTTGTTGTAATCGATGTTGACTTGACCGCGATTGATTCTCATTTGTTTGATGATTCGCAAACCACGACGAATCGAAGAATTCCTGATCCCGCGATTCCCACGTGTAATAAACGTTCCAAAGTATTTTGATCCTAAATGATCATTTGATCGCGGTAGATTTGAAAAGAGAAATGGCGCGGCAAAGGTCATAGAATTTGTCTGTTTTCAAGGTTTTGCTCCCGAACGATACTGGCGCGCCAAGCGGAGAGAACGCGCGTTACACAACGACTGGAAGCGAAAAGCCAATCATTTCGCTGGTTTTCCGCGAGAGCAAATTGCTGGATTGGCTGCTGCGCGTTTATTTCTTGTCGCACGCGTTCCCGTTTTTTGCGTCTTTCGCACGGGACTGTGCGACCGTAAAGGTAAAAAAGGTTGGTTTTTCGAACGCGCTATATAATTGCGCTATGTATTGTAGAACAGGCCTAAGAAAACACAGAACGGAGTTAGCGGAATGTCTATGATTGGCCGGAATTTCATTCCGTAAATTCTGCATTACGCACGTTCCGCATCATCTGACTTCTTCCTTAGGCCTGGTTTATGCCGGCAAATAAGACCTTGTTTTGGCCTTGTTTATGCGGGTAATAACTGTTAATCTATGCCGGAATTGGTACAGTTCAACTATTGGATTTCAATGTTTCTGTTATATTCTGTTATGCTTATGTTAATAAACAGAAATATTAAAATCTTAAGAGCCGTCTACAATGGAGAGTTGTAGGCCGTAATAGTAAGAAATTGACCAATCACAGACAAAGTACAGAAGAATAATCGATTGTGATTTGTCAATTTCTTACTGTTACGGCCTACAACTCTCCATTGTAGACGGCTCTTTAGGCCCGCATAAACCAGGCCTTACTCTATACTAGGTGCGTTCAGACAACTCAACAGTTGCACAACGGTTGAGAAATAATCACTTATGATTGGATCATACTTTTGGAACCGAATCAGGTTTTGAAGAATGATCGTATCATAAGTGATGATCTCTCAACCGTTGAGTTTTCTGAACGCAACCACCGTCTACTCCCATTGTAGGCAACCCTTTAATCGTTATCACCATTCTCTCGCATTGTGCGAGAGGCTTAAGTGCATCACAAACCAAACCAATACGTATTTGAAAATTTAAACGTTCAAGTGGTTTTTCATTATTTGTGTGAATTTCCAAGGAATTGTCCATTCTTGTTTAGAAACAAAATATGGCTGAAAAAGTCGAAAAACAAATAAAACATATATTCGTAAAAGTGCAGTACAATAAAACTGATCATCCAAAATATTTGAAGAGGCTCACGACACTTTATGAAAAAGTAAGTTTTAATCGTTAATACGATACAATATAAAATATGATACAATATAAAAGCACTTGTTTTATTCCTAATTATCTTTAGAATATATCATCAAAAACATTTTTGCGTCTTCGATAAATTTAAGGTTCAGTAATGATCCTTGAGAGGTGTGTAAGATTGAGAACAATAATTTGCGTTATATATTTGATAAACATGTTTTCTATTAAAGCAAATATATTTTAAATGCAACATATATTAACGATTATATAATTCTCATTTAATGTAGCAATTTATGGCTGATGAAGACTGTAGTGAAAACAGAAATACTCTATTTGTAAAGATAGTTAGGAATTGAAATGTTATTAGTAACATATAAAACACAACTTGCTTATTAGAATTTAATCCATATTTCTATGGAATTTGTTCTATTTTATTAATTTGTTATAATTATATAAAGTTGTGCTATTTATATGACAAGAGGTAAAATATGATTTTTCTCTTAAATAAGTATGTATATAACATGTATTAGTTTTTTTTTTCATGTATACGAAGACATTAAATTATTATTGGATGAGATTAATATTGGAGAGAATTAATAATTTGATTTTCTTATTTTTTTGTAGACTGACTTTGATACATTTTGGAGATATTTTCTTCAATGTTTAAAGGTATCTCTTACAATAGTGCAGCATCATCCACATATTATAAATACATTAGAATTTTGTGCCACATTTTCTATGAGCTTCTATTCATCATCTGAAAATAATGAACCAATGTCACCATTTCTTTCAAACCTGTTCCAATTTCTCTTGACGAGTCATAATGCAAAAGATAAAACAGTGAGATTTCGCATATGTCACTTCTTAAATATGATACTAAACTCGATGGGTGACTCTGCTTTCATTGATGACAGTCTGTGTGATCGTATTATAACTAGCATGACAGAACGATTGTTGGATAAATCACCTAAAGTTAGAGTGCAAGCTGTTTTTGCATTGCACAGATTGCAAGATCCATCAGATGAACATTGCACTATTATAAAGTTATATCTCTTCCATGTATCCAAAGATCCTTCACCTGAAGTTCGTAAGGCAGTACTTGCTAGTATGGGAAAGAATCAAAAGACTTTACAAGCTGCATTGGCAAGAACAAGAGATATAGATGATAATGTACGCAGAATGGCATATGAATTTATCAGTAAGATCACAGTACGCTCTTTAACTATTGCACAAAGAGACTGTTTGTTAAAAGATGGTCTCCGGGATAGATCTGCATCTGTCAAAACTTATGTCAGCAATACTTTGTTGCCAACTTGGCTAAGACATTATAAAGGAGATTATATAAATTTTGTACATGCTTTGGATGCTGGGATAGGAACAGAAGCTGCAACATTAGGTTTAATAACATTGTTTAAGTAAGTATCAAATATAAAAAGTAAGTATTAAATATTATTCAATTGGAATAAGTATAATTTTTGATCTCTTTTTCATAGAATTGCAGATATTAATACGTTATTGGAGCAAGTACCAGTAGATAAAAACACAAGACTGATTCCACTGACAAACTTGTCAAATGAAAATGCTTTGTACTGGAAGAGTTTGATACAACATTTGCAAAATCTTTCTTGTACAGACGAAGTAGAATTAATTATCCCAGAATTGTCAGAATTTTGTACATACATACGTGAATTCATTACTCTTATGTCTTCAGAATCATATGACTCATATGAAAGAACGGGACACAAATTTATTCTCTTGCAATTGCTCGAAATATCTAAAACATATGATCTGTCAGATGAAGTAGGCAGAAAAAACTTGAAGGAAGTGATGATAGATACTTTGATGAGTGATCATTGTTCTGCTAATATAATTGAATGTATTGTAAATCATTTAGCAAAGGTGATACCTGACGTTAACAGTTTCTTAGATGTTATTGTGAATGTTATCAATGATACCAGACTGCCTCCGAAAGAAAGCGTAATTTCTGAAGAAATTACCGTTGAGCACGAGCGTGACAATGACATGCAAGTGAGGAATACATTAATTTTTCTGTTATTGCTGTATGAATACACTTCTTTATATATTTATTTGAACTTAATTCTCTAGAAAGCAAAACTTAAAGTCGAGATGTTGGAACTCGAAGAAGAATTATATCTAGCGATTAAGGAAGAGAATTTTCTACAGGCGGAAAGTTTGAAAGAAAAAATTAAGATTTTGAAAGAAGAAATAGCTCGATTATCAAAAGTGAACAAACCTATCATGATGATTGATGAAGAACAGGAGGAAAAAAATGATCTGGCAACCATGGTGAAATGTCTCAATATTTTGTACAATGCAATAAAAGCTGTTAATATTCACACATTAACGCCCATTCTTAAAGGTTTGATGTCCTTTGTTTTGGACAGTCTCGACGTACGTATATATTCACTTTTATGCAGCATATTCCATGTAATTATTTATTATTTAGTAACTGTTATTTTAGTTTATCTTATCGTTTTAGCATCCTGATGACAGCGTGCACATATTAGCATTAAAAGTCTTGAGTATCTATTGCATCTTGGATAAAGAATTGGCTAAAAAGCATATAATGATATTTTTTTATCAATTCTCGCTTGAGCCAGATGATCAGGAAATATGGATAATTGCCTTAAAGGGAATATTCGATCTCTTGCTTTATTACGGTATAGAATGTTTTGATATTTTGCAAGGTTTGAAAGAAACTTCTACTACTCAGAATAGCACTCGTTCACTTTATACTCATGAAGACACTATTACTTCTATACACGATGTAAAGCAGACGAAAACAGTGCAGAATAATTACAATTTTATCAAGATTTTAACAGGATTGTTGAATAATGAGGTAAATAAAAAACATATTTCTTGCATATGTTACACTAATGAAAATATTTTTTTGTCAATTTTGCAAATTTACAGAATCAAGATTTGCGTACTATCGCTGCGGAAGGACTTTGTAAATTACTGCTCAATCGGAGAATAAATGACAGTAATTTAATATCACGGTTGATAATTCTTTGTTACAATCCAGTTAATGCTAATGACGATTATCTTCGGCAATGCTTGAGCGTTTTTTTCAATCAGTTTGTAACACGTGTATCTGATGCATATGAGATGCTCGAAAGCATATATTTTTCCACACTTCGTGTTCTTTGTAAGGCACCGGATACTAGTCCTCTGCAGGAAATCGATCCTTACCAAGTATCCAGATTTATATTGAATTTAACCAGATCTGACAAAGGGTCTTACATACACAACAATTTTGCGTTTGCTATATTGGCCGAGATTCTGAATCCGGAGAGCGAAATAGACAAAGAAACTCTTGTTAAATCCTTGCCAAATTTGAACACTCAAATCGAAGACGGACCGTCGAAGCAAAACTTGCAAGAGGCTGTCAAGAATGTCAGGAGCATGGTATATCGATCTTTTTTGCATAAATTTTATCAGTTTTCTATGACTAACTAAATGTCAATTACACAATTGTATAATTTTTTTTAAATATATTTTACATCATTCTATTATATAGGTAATTTATATTCATTGTAACTTGATATATTTTGACAGCTTGTCAAGTCCAGCAAACGATTGTTGAAATATATTCATCAATTTCAAAAACAAATAGAAGATTCTCAACAAGAAGCGAAGTCAGAATCTGATATTGGAGAGAAGGAAAGTGTACATGAGGAAAGCGAAAATGAAGAAACTGAATAAACGTAAATAATATAAGTTTGACATATTAAATAATCAGTAACTATGCGCATATTAAAATTTTTGTAGCTATTGCGCGATAGGTTTTATCTGCGCAATGATATTTTAACAACAGTGACATTATCGTTAGTTCCTCCAGAGACGCGCATTATATTAAATTGCCATGTAGAAAAATCTAAAATAAATAAAAGCTAACATAAAGCTACAGGCTGCAAGAATCTTACACTACGCGCATAATTACTAGATTATTTTATATATTAAACTTGACTTATATCTCATTTACAGAACTCCACTATGTGGTGCGATTCTCTCGACGAAGAAAATCGCCTTTTGGTTAAAATCATCATTTGTTTGCGCGATGACTTACTCTTATCCGTTCTCGAATTATTGTAAACTATATGTAGAATATAGCATTAAATCATTAATATAATAAATAAAACATTTGTTCTTTTTCATGAAACTTTTCTCATTCAGTGGATTCACTATTTTATATTGTTCTTCCAAGAAGAAATTCTTCCAAGGGCCGGTTGTTCCACCTTCGGATAAATCTCAGTTTGCTCGACAGGTTTTTATCTATAAGATAAATGTTACCGAGTAGTTTATCAGCCACGTGACTGTTGTTTTATGATTATTTATCCTATTGATATCTGCATTCTAAAAGCGATATATTGCAGTAATCACTTCCGGAACGTACAGTTTAGCAACTGTAATGGCTAGTCTACAATGAAGATTGTAAGGCTTGTAGGAGCAGAGAGTGAACTATTTTTCGGTGAAGAAACGACGGGGGGGAATAACGAAACGGACAAATCCCATTTCGCACTGCCTTACTGTTGTTAGCCAATGAAATACGTGTGTTAAAAAACGCGAAATAATTGTATAGACAAAAATTAAAAGAACTCCAAGAACCTTGCTCCTTATACTCTGTACTGCCTATTCCCATTGTAGACTAGCCATAAGGCTGCGTTCGGGGAGCGCACTCTCTGCGTTATTGCATCATTCTATCTGTATCGCTCATTAGATGTAAAAGAAAGACAGAATGATAGCGCAATAGCGCAGATAGTGTACTTCCTCTCTTACACCACGCACGCACGCACCAAACCACTCAGTGTAAAAGCGCCCCTCTTGCCCTCAAGTTACCGCGTCTATTCCGCGAATTTTTGATATGCTCTACATTTGCAATCTGCAATTGCATTTTACACATAGGTAGTGTTTTTTGTAACACGTTGAGAACTGTTCTAGCGCGTAAAGTTGTTTGTATGTAATTGTATATAAGTACGTTTGTGTATATATACAAAGTGGATAGAAAATATGAAGCTTCTCACACATAACATGTTAACGTCCAGAGCTATGAAGGGAGTAACGGTCGGCTACCCTCTAAGAATTGTCGTAAGTAATTCTGCACACGTTGAGGTTAATTCTCCAAGTTCTTTAATTAATATGTTTTGTTAACGATAAAGGTAAATTCCGATTGATTGAGATGTGCTTGTTGATAGTAATAATTATGTTAAAAAAATAAATATTTTTAAATTACATTTATATCTTATGTTAAAAATTATTGATAAATAATGATAATAAATATCTCAACTTAGTTTTGTCAGCTCGTATTACTTTTTTGTTTTGTTTTTTTTTTAATTAAATTATCGTGCACGTTCAAAAATGAAAAAAGTGTAAAATTTACAGGCTAAGGACATTAGAGTATCTGAAGTAGAATTTAATCCAGAATATATCGCAAGAATAATTCCGAAACTAGATTGGACAGTGTTGTGGAAAGCAGCAGAAAGCGTGAGTTTAAATTTTCACTAGAATAGTACTTAAATCATTTCATAACGTGCAGAAATGATATGTTGTATTGGTAAATGTTTTTGCAGATAGGGCATGTTGGTGAATTACCTCAGAATTTAATAGAAGATTTTGAAACAAATGAAGAGTTTTTGAAGAAAGCCCATCATGTATTACTAGAAGTTGAAGTTATAAATGGAGAATTGATGTGTCCAGAATCTGGTAGAAAATTTCCCATAAATGATGGCATTCCAAACATGCTTCTATATGAAGATGAAGTTTAAATAGCGAAAATAATTATTGTAAAGCAATTGTTCCTTTAATTGTAACTGTTAAACAGTCATTTTGTATATCTGTTTAAGATACTCTTGTTTTCTAGCTTTAACTTTTTATCGATGTATAAAAGTATTGATGATGAAAACCAAAGTTATATAATAATATGTAACAATTAAGTGCGTATACGGGATGTCCCAAAATTTGCAACAAAATATTTTAATAATAGATTCTTCGAAATATTCTAAGACATTTTCGATATGAAAATAGTGAGACTACTAAATTTTTAAATATAAGCGCTAAAACTAAAAATTGCTTAAAAACTACGTCACACATAGCCTCATTATCTTTGTTTAAAATCCTAAAGACTTTCAGTCAGTAATATTTTAGAAGAGAGAAGTTCTCTTTCTGTTGCCAATCACTTTTGACTAGAAAAAAACGACACATAGAAGAAAAACTTTCTTTTCTTTTAGAACGATTCAATATCAGTCGATGTATACATTCTTAGTTGCAAAAGAAGTGAATGTAGTATTTTATCTCTTCACCAATCAAAATTTATAACATTGTTTTGTAATCATGAATTAATATCAATCTTTCTTACTAAGCTATATAGCATCTTTTTTATTTCATGGACATCGAATAACAAGTCATACATTTTAAAAGAATAAAGCTAACTAGATGTTATGTAGAGACTTTAAAAAAAAGTCTACCAATAAATTTACATTTAAAACTATCTAAAAAATTGTTAGAATTATTGTATATATATAAAATAAACTTCTACCTCTTTTTTTTATCGGAAAACTTATAATAATAAACTTAATAAACGTGTTCAGATTAATCCAATCTATCTTTACACTTCAGTTGGTCAAAAGTTTTCAAACACCGTGTATGCGTGCATGCGCGCGCGTGTGTGTTTATGATACTTTACGTACGTTGGAAACTACATAGTTTCCAACATTTCAAAGAGGAAAAAAAGGAAAAGTGGCTTTCGAGATTCTTCTAAATAAGGAAATTCGATCTGATTTATTGGCCTATATTTATGTGTTATCAATAGTGAATAGCTTATTATTATGTAAACAAGACTTAGATTATCGTACAGATGTACAGTATATGATTACAGATATTTTATTGCAGATATGTCTAAAAACAATGAAATACGATTTCTTGTATCGTTTTGCAATAATTTACAACATATCACATTTTTTATTTACATTTCAATATGTATATGTTTGCTACTTAAATAATCTCCGCTCGAATATTATCTGCTCTGTTAACTAAGAGCAAGTTTCTAGGAATGTAACATTTTGATACAAATTGTTTTCTCATAGCTTAGAGAGAAAATTGCATAGCAAACTATTGTAGCAAATATTATAATAAAGTACATTAAAAATTATAAAGTAGTTTTAGAGAGTTTAACTGTCTTAGCACATGTTCTCTTTGGACGTTGGATAATACTAGTCGGTAGTATGGAAAAATACATTTATTGACAAAATATTTATGCACATATATAATACAGTTATTTTGGAATTAATGTGATCTAACTTTTATTTATTAAGTTGCCATAAACGACATCGTTACACACAATTATTTGTGTATAAGAAAAACAATAATTTATTAATAGAAGAGAGAACACATACCTCTTTGTGAGATAACAATTTTTAAGAACACATGCAGCACAAATATGACATCTATTGCACAAAACTTCTTATATTTGACTTTGAATATAATATTGTTTACATAAATTGCAGGAAATATAAACTAATTTTTTTCTGCATTTAAACTTACATTTTTTTGATTAAAATAGATTTATTAATTAAACTAGCTACACTGAAAGAGTAGTTATTTCATCGTTAGAGAAGAATATTTTCACAAGATGCATGAATCTAACACAACTGGTTTTTCATAGAGAGAATGTGAAAAATCTGTGTAATCTACTTGTACATACTTCTTTTCTGTACTAATAACACAATGCTCAAAATATAGTCAAAATATATTACTTTATTGTTTCTAATTTATTTCCAAGAGTCAAAAAGCTATAAAAATAGCATTCACCTAACATTTCAGCCACAGCCTGTCTGTTATTACTATTTTTATATCTTACACATATATTCGCGTAAAAGGCTGGATTATTCTTGCGAATCAAGCTATATGAAAATATTTCTGTACATTAGAATTTTACTATTAGCATAAATATTAATTTTCACATAGTTTACTGTTTGTATGATGTGTTAGAAACTTCATGTCGGTTATGGCCTATTCTGCATACTAATTGATAGATTTTGCTGCGTTAGAGATATGACTGTTATTTCCTATATTCACCTTTTTTTACATACTTTGTTTTATATAATATATGCGTGAGTTTATAAAACATATCTATAAATATATGTTTATCTAATGGAATTTGTCATGTTACGTACATATATTCAATAAAATATATTTTAATTTAATACTGCATGTTTGGCATATTTTCAGATTTCAGACAAAAATCTTCATTCTGAATATATACTACAGTTCAAAAAGAGAAAAAGAGAGAGGAAGTCCATTTCGTGCTGTTAAGTCTTAAGGAATCTATCAATAGTAAAATTGATTTGACACATAATGTTGTTTTCTTAAATCTTACATTTTTTATATTTATAAGTTTCAAAGATTTTCGCAAATAAGTAAATATTGTAATAAATACAACAATAAAATTAGTCTATAAAAAGACTACTTTGCAAGACTTTTGTATAAATTCAATTTCAGTACCAAATTTAATAAATTTCTTAGACAATCGATAAATAATACATAATTACTTACTTAAAAGCAGCATATCAGGGACATTATATGTATTTAAAGTAAATTAGAGTAAAAAGAGTAGCTTCATTATATTATAACAATCACACATAAAATTATTACTAATTACTAGGACTCGAATTACTGACTTTCAATCAGCACTGATATTAACAAGAAGAATATAAATTTATGTACCACTGAACAAGTTTATTGAATAGTCTTCAATAGACTTATCCATGTGTGTTCGTGGAAAAAATCAAGTCACCCACATTATTTATGTTAAATATATGTACAAGCATAATTATAATCATCTTGTTAAGTATTTTCGTGGGTACATATATGTCAATACTTAATCACATTTTAAGGAAACACTTTCAGATTTTTTGTATTACATTTTAGACTGCAGATATGTGTTACAAAGATAAACAATTTACGTAATATGTATTTTACATATTAGTATGCATTTTTTTTGTATATAAGTAATATCAGAATAAAGAATTCTGTACAATGTGATTGTGAAAAAAGAATTAATATATAGTATAGTTGCCACTCAAAAATATCATGTTCTAATTATCTTGTATTATTTTTTTAAACACAAAATGTAATTTTACACGTAGACACACACACACGCACGCACGCACGCACACAAAAAGCCAACAAATTGAATAATAAAAAATATATATATAAATTAGTAACAAAATATAATCTTTGTCATGTTATATAACATAAAAATTAAAAAAAAAATCAGTGTTGTACAAAGTAACATATACGAGTAATATAGTGGAACAAATATTTTTCCAAAAAAAATGAAATAAATTAAAAATTCATAAGGATAAAATTGTAATTGTTCCCTATTAAATTAAGATTTAATTAATCTCACTATTTAACAAAGATGTAAAACATCAAAAGAAAAACAGTTGCACATATTTCATTTACCGCGACTCTCCGTATTAGTTGCATTTCGCTGCGAATAAATGGAGCCTTGGGCTAATCCTCTCAACGGTCCTTTTCGTAATTCGGACTGTGGACCTTTGGCGAGGCAATGATTTCCAGAAAGTAAACTTGTGTCGTGTCCCACAGCAAGTGATCTTGAAAATGATTGTTTGGATAACAAATTTGGATCCGGTCCCGACCATGGTGCGTAATCCGGTCTACAATTATATCAATGAAATTTAATAATATCTGCTTAATTACTATATATCAATAATAATGCAAGAAAATTCTTTTCAACGCACAACAATAGATCGTTATTTGCTCCTTTTGGTAAATCCGAGTTTGATCCAATCGGTTTTGTTAAATACGGAGATTTATATTCTTTATCTTCTGTGGTACTAGTTCCACGTGAAACTCTATTATAACATATAAAACAAAATATGAAATTAATAGTTTAAAAAGCATATCAAACAGAAGTGCAGATTAAACAAATTCCTTACTTCGGTATCTCAGTCTTATTTTTGGACCGTTTCGACTTTTCAGTCTCTGTATCTTTACTTGTCTTTTTAATTGGAGAAGCAGTTAATTTTATAGCTTCCGTCATTGGCGGACTGTCTTTTCGTTCGTCGCTTCTGCTACTGCAAATGTTATTTTCAAACAATCAATGTAAAGAATAAAACGATCAATACAAAGAATTTGCATGAATAATAATCTTATTTGTTATCAAAAAATCGAATCTTTACCTTTGACTACTAGAAGTACATAATGGTCGAGTAGCTTCCTCTGCAACTACTATGTCTAATATATGTATTGCTCTTTCTTCGTCATAATCTACACTATCCATGGCAAGCATTACCACTCGATCCGGTACTGTTTTATATTTTTCCATTAAGCGTGTTTTCACTACAAAATTTTTCTTTCTGTTAGTATTGATAAAAAAAAAAAAAAAATACAAAAATATAAAAATGTGGATCGAAGTATGTACGTACTTTTATTCTTTTCTTCCAAGCTTTTTATGCGAGGAGGAGGTGTTGGTGCAACTTGCTGATTTTGCGCCTGCAAAAAAAAAAGAAAGAATATTTGAAATTCTCTTTTTTTATACGCAAAAGAATGTATAACACTCATTACCTGTTCCTTCTCTTTTTTTTTTGCTAAAGCCTTAGCGGGAAGTGTAGGATTTCGTTTCTCGTACCCCAGATTAATCAATTTTTCGGATGCCTTCTGTACATTGTTGTCGCTCTGTTCTAATATATCCAACAGTATCGTTTCATCCACTTTTGGAAATATATTTTTCAGGTATCTGTGCACACACATTTCAAATATGTAAATGATCAACATAACTATGTAGTTGTTAAATGCACAACATTTAAACATTGGCTTGCATATTATGCCTTAATTTAACATACATAGTATTCAAATTATAACTCATCAATCGTCAAAAACTGATAATCTACCATGATCTTATTTGAAATGTGATTTGTATACGTGTTCAGTTAGTAAACCAGTATAACACATATATAAAGAATAGTTAATATTATTTTGAATATGTACATGTGATTGCTAGATATCTAAAAATAAAAAAAATTCATGATGAATCTTTTTTTCTATATTTTAATTATAAATACAATCCTTTATATTTTCTTCTATAGTTCTTCTTTTAGATATACAATGCACATACACATACTATCATGCTTAAATTTCTTTAGTTTTAGAATAAATGAGTTTCTTTTCTTAGTATATTAAGGAACATTTTTAAATTTTGTAATCAGAAAAAAATTGATCATGTGTATTTTTAACGAACTGGAAACTCTTTTATTCCTTTAGAAATGTTTTTATACCAATATGCTAATCTATAACTATAACATTTAATTAACAATATATAGGTATATAAAGCTTTAAATTTGCTAATAATAAACAATGAAAAGAATAATAAATAACATACGAAACAGAAACCAACCTACTCTAGAGAGTGTACATTTCATACTATCCAACATCTACCTTATGTAAACCAGGAAGAAACTGAAAGACAAAACAAAATCCAAATAATGAAAACGGCAACATTAAACATTATTGGTCAACGTAAAAACCAAACAATATTTGTGTGTACAAATTCTCTTTTTAAAATCATCAAAAATGTATTAAAAAAATGTATCAAAAATGTATTAAATGTATTAAAAAACTTAACAGCGAGCTTATAATAAATCTATTGAATTATATAATCTTATTTTTGCTACCGTGCATAACACAAATTATTGATTTGCAGTCGGCCAATTGATTGATTAAGTGTTCATATAGTACTCGATATTTGAAAAAGTAATCCAAAAAAATAATTTTAGATACATGCTGCAACTATGTATACTACGTAATATCAACATATAATATCATTTAAATATGCATGAAATATACAGACAGAGTTGTATAACAATACAAAAAAAGTGCTTTTTGCCGAGTATATTTCTTGGGAATTATCACATAATACGATATCAACATCTAGCATCCAGACTGGATGAGAAAGACTGAAACTATGAATATGTATGTTAAACCTAAGTTTCATTTTTGGGGAGTTTGGGGCTGGCCGAACCCCGCGAGGCGGACTCAATGTTAATGCTGCATGTATAGCGTGAGCCGGTAGACGCCATCTCGGGATTGCATAATTTGAATGCACTCCTATAGGTGTGCCTGGTCCCGGGGCGCAAAGAGGATTCTTTTCCACTTGGAGAGCACTCATGACCAAAGCTGCTCTGTTATGGTATCTGAAAGACATCGGCTACCGACTTAGCACCAAATCTGATACAGTGCTAATTTGAGGAAGCAATGGCGAATAACTGAGATAGACTCGACATCACTATGCAGAGCATTAATTATTTCTTACACACGATGTATAATTATTAAATATTCACTGTATATGATATATAAGTTGTTGAAGTATTGAAAATTTTCGAAAAAAATGTTTGGTGATAGAATGAAGCATCTGAAGAACTTACTTTTTTAGTAACAGACGAATATGCGTGTCAGAAACTGTCGGAAACACAGCGTTGATTTTTGCCACTTGCAACTCAAAATCCGAATTTTGAGTAAAGCTGGTTTCTGTTTTTGTCGCTGGGGTCGGTGAGCCTAAAGTTAAATCACCGAATCGAGTTGTCACCGCACTGGTGGACTTTAGCGACAACGGAGTTTTCAGTTCCTGCATATAGAAAATTATAATTACATAGAAAGCAAACAGAAAACATCACAACTGTAAATGTGATGACTATCTTTTAATGACAAATATGTACGTGCATGAGCATGAGATTGGGCCAGCATGTACTTACCTGTGTACTAGGAGGTAAAAATGCTAGTTGTGGATTATGATAAGGGGACGGTGTCGGATAAATTTGCGGCGCTCTGTGAGCACCTGTATAATTTACATGTCCAGTTCCTCCAGTCTATTTATTTGTTGTATATTGTATATGTTATCCAAATGCAGCATGTGCACATTACAAGAATATTTAAATGTGATAATGTTATGACTTTGCAAGATAGGATACTTTTGTATTGTACAAGTGCAAGGTAGGATATTTTTGTACAAATAAAATACTATAAATGCACAAACATATTGAAAATATATTTTTTTGCATAAAATATTTTATTTTCTTAGTTTAATCTTTATAACTTACTTTTATTATTCCATAAATAGAAATAATAAAAGAACATTTAATTCAAATAAATATTTAATGCAAATTTGTAAAAGTATAACAAATTATAATTATAAATTTTTATAATATAATTATTTTTGGAAGAATTCGATTTTAGCGCACTGTTTCAATTATTTTAAAAGTAATATGCAGCAAAAATTTTATCTTTACTTACATTACAATGCAAAAAGAGCTTTATTATCAAGCTGCATACTTGATTAACATAATGAACATAACATAATATTGATAAAAATTGTTATTGTTTTCATATTTCTATTTGTAACAAATACTATCTTTTAAATTGTATTTCTTTTAGAAAAATTATTTATAACTGTTTTCTTCTTTTTTTATGTAAATAAATACACATACATACACACACACATGACCTTATTATTATTCTGATAAACATATTAACACTGTGTGAAAAACCTTGCCACATATAGACAGACACATATATGCAATGTAAACTAATTGTTAACTGACCTGCATAGGAATATCTTGGGAAGTAGTAGTAGTAGCTGAACTGGAGTTCTGAGACTGCACATACTGAGAATACTGCCAGTATCTCACTCTTGGATCTTCCCATGTTGTAGTACGATTAAAATGATTTATAAAATATCTAGAAAAAAAACAGAGAGAGAGCATCAATAAAGTTATTCAATCTCTTTTTGCGTTGTAGTTTTCTGCAAAAATCGATTTTCAATAAGTATTTTTAAACTCATCAAGATAAAACATCTCCAAAAAAAAAAAAAAAACAATCTTAAATTATTTCACAGATAATAAAATATTACTCTCTCGTCACCGTGCTAGAGTTTTCACAAATACGTTGACGATGTATTTATTTAATTTTTTTAAAAAGCACTACAAATTAAGTGTCGAAATTTCATGCCGCATGTTACGTAAGACGGATCTATTGATGTAGAAAAATTTGGATTTCACAAAACTGTTGGTAGTGAGATAATGATTAAATCTTAAAAAGATCTTGTGTATTTTTACGTACGGACGGCCGCTGCGAATATCATATCTGCATTCCCAACCGGGTGGCAATTGAGTTCTGTCACCCTGCTCCGCCATGTTTTTTGCGTCTCGTGTTATGATACTTGTGATAATTTATAAATGAAGATGTTACGTCGGATCACTCTCGATTTCTCCTTGACTGTTGTCAATACTTAACCATTTATCCAGCCTACCTTCTCTTCTTCTCTTCGTCCTTGTTTTTCTTTTTACGGATTTCCATCCACCGGAGACATAAAACCGCGCTTTCAAGTGCTTCCTTCGGATCTTTGACTATGGCTGCGTTCGTGGAGCGCGCTATCAGCGCTGTTGCATCATTCTATCTTTATTGCTCATTAGATGTAAAACAAAGATAGAATGACGCAACAGCGCTGATAGCGCGCTCTCCGAACGCAGCCTATAATAAGTACGGACTCTGCTAGTTCCCCCACTTTTACTATGTTAAAAGCTGCGTTCCGTTTTTTACATATATGAGCGCATTTATCTATACTGTACGTGACGTGTACTATAGATAAATGCGCACATACGCGTGAAACGGAACGCAGCCAAAGGCAATCTCTCTATTCTACAAACCTTGACGGAATAGAACCACGTCCACGAAAAGCGTAAGGGCAACGCGTCCCATTGAGCGAAACAAAATGCGCGGAATCAGCGCGACCAATCATAGCCATTCCGCCCTTTTTCGCGTCGTCCCATTATAAAATTTTACCGCTGTAAATTCGCGGACTAAACGAAGATAAATCTCAATTTGCATATTGCAAGAATAAGTATGTGATTATTTTTTACTGTAATTAAGGTTTAATTTATAATTGTAATTTATTTTATTTATTACATATATAATTTCAATAAACATCTTTTTATGAAATAAAAATAATGTGGTATGAAGTACCTATCTCTCAACAAACACATGAATTATTTTTCTTTCCTCATAGGTGAATAATTTTTGATAATTACATAAATTATTACACAGTAAAATTTATTCAGTACACATCACGTAGTATAAATGTGAATACTTTGTTATCTAATACTGTGCGTTTCTTTAAGTAACTTTAATTAAGAGTTAAAACGTCGAAAGTGGAAATGTGATACAAATAAAATGTGTAGAAAATAAATTATTATCCATTTTCATTAATTTTTACTATTTATATGTTTTGTTTTATTAGCCATTCTTCTAGGGAACAAGTGAATACACTATAAAAGTCCAGCATTATGGTTCATCTTCTTTGTGTAGAACATGTTTCCTTACCATGTGATACACCATTCCAAAAGTTAAGATAGCTATTGCTGTTCCTTGAGCAGCAACTCGAAGCTGTATCAGGAACAGCTGAGTGGAGATTTGCCTCTTCTTAAAGGAATATGCACCATAACCGCAAATACCTGCTAAACTTACTAGACCTGTTTGGAAAACAATAGATCCGTTTAGAAAACAATATATTTATATCAAATATATACTTTTTTATGACAAAGCACTTATAGTTTTACATGTTTATATATGTACATACTTGCAACAAGAAACGGTGATTTTCTTCCTTTTTCCACCAGTTTTTGTGACAAAGTCGAATCTACTCCTACATCATCATCAATAGTGGCCATTTTGTACAAAAGTTATGTAATCTTGTAATACTGCTAATCTGTAAAAGTTTCTTAATTTTAGAAAAAAAGTAATTAAATATTAATAGTATTTAATTAAATTATCTTTATATAATTATAATCTAATTTAATAAAAGTATTTAATTAAATAACAATAACAAACTGAATTTCAAGAAAAATTTATTTCTTTACTTTAACAGATTTAAATTAGTCTTTAAAATATATTTTATTTTATTTTATTATATGTTTAATGCTTGTTGAATGTTTAAATAAAAAGATAGGAAAAAGGCAATAACGAGCTAACATCTGATGAATGTCTCGAATAGATCATAATTTTTTTTGTAATTTTTTATTGAAACACTGAAGAAGATTCCATAGTGGAAACGTTTGTTAACATTTTTTTTAAATTCTCGAATTAAAAAAGAATTTTACTCGAACATCAAGTGTTAGCTCGTTATTGCCTTTTTCCTCTTTTTATTTATTTTATTTAGTTCTATATTGTTTCTATAATGTGTTACATCATATAAATATCTTATTTTATTTTATCTTATTAAATATTTCTTGTTAATACAAAAGTTATAGCCAACAAAAGTTTTTCTCTGCAAAAAGCTTTATAAAAGCTGTATATTAAATTAAGTGTAAAATGTAATTACACAAACAATTTGAAAGTATATTTTAAAAGCCATCGTACAATTGCGTTCCGATATACATATATTGATCTTGATTACGCCATGTCTGTTTCTTGCAACAATTCAAGGTCATAGCCAAGATTATGCTCTCTCGTTTTCTCTTAACCGAGTATTTTTTTTTATCTATAGTTTACAGATTTTAATGTACCACAGTATTTTTTATCTATAGTTAACAGAGTTTAATGTACCACATATATTTGTATAAATATTAAATATCTTGTAATTATAAAAGTAGAGACATTTCTTTGGCGTTTACAATATATTAGTTTTACATAAGAAAATACTTATATTTTTATGTTAAATAATACAAAAAGCTTTGTTTACCTTTGTGTTTTTAACAGAATGTTTGTTGAGAAAAGTAATGCTCGCGCTGAACAACTTAAAAACTCAATCACGCGTACTGACTGCTGTCAATCTCGCGCGCGATTACACCATTTTTTTTATCATACATATATATACATATATACATACACAATTAAACTTGGATTAAACTGTTCAGAAATTGTCGTAAATTAGACAATTATTAAATTACTTCCTACACATTCACTTACTGCCGCATACAGCAATCGTTGCATGACTACTGACTGCGCACGTACAAATTTTTCGATTTTTATCTGTTAAGTATTACCGATTGTGACGAAACCGTTTGTTCAGTATGGTTTAGTGCTTTCACGGCCCGTAAGAGAGCTAGGCCATACATTAGTCTAAGTCTATTTTTCACATTGTTTGACAAAAAAAACAAAAATTAAGATATCATACTTGTCCAAAACAAATCTACTACGCACGTATGACCGTTACTGTCTCGTCTAATACTAGCAATTCTCACGAACAAGATAATGACAGTGCGCGTAACCAGAGAGAAGAGAACTTTTCTCTGGTAGCAGAATGCTCTTTTCCCTCACCTGGGTGTGTTCGAATGAAATCTGAACAATACACTCGGTGGCATAAAGGTCTAGTTTCCACCGAAACCCTCAATTCGGGCTGCGTTCGGAGAGCACGCTATCAGCGCTATTAAAGGTCATTCTACATAAGACGCAGACGCAGGTCGCAGGACGCTGATCTCGCGGAATTGACCATTCACGTTTGTCAAATCAGCTAATCGACTTACGTGATTGGTCAATTCCTCGAGAGCAGCGGCCTGCGACCTGCGTCTGCGTCTTATGTAGAATGGCCTTTACGTCATTCTATCTTTGTTTTATGGCTAGTCTACAATAAAGATAGTAAGGCTGTAGGAGTAGAGAGTAAATTATTTTTCGGTGAAGAAACAACGGGAATTACGAAATGGGCAATTCTCATTTCGCACTGCCTATTGCCTTACTGTTAGCCAATGAAAGATGGAGAATCTGATCTTCAACTTAAATGTTTGGCGCGCAATTTGAAGCAAACAATAAGAAACAATAAGACAAGTATTGTAATCGATGTATCTCAAAGCGCTGATAATTTTTGCATCTCGAAAATTTCGTGCAAGAAAATGAAGAAAAAAAATTGTATGTTACAATTTTATTTAACAATAAAGTTTATTTTTGTAAGTTATCGAGATAAAAGCTTCATGTATAAAACGCATCTGTACATTCGTAATATCATCGACGATGCCGTTCATCAGTCTCGAAAACGAGTCTTTCTACATGTTTAAAAGTGACAATTCCACTCTACTCGACACTTACATATATGTATCCACGGTCAAAACACAAAATTTTAAATCGTAAAAATCCGTTAATTGTTTATTGCGCGACAGAAAAGATTTTGAGATTATTGTTTCATTTTTCAATATCTAATAGTGAGTCTACATTTTTTTGTAACAATCTACAGCTAATATTTTTTGCAGGGCTCTTTAAGAAATATGTGTTAATTCACAGATATATTAATAAAAACATATTTCTATATTTTTCTTAATAAAAAAAAAAAAAACAAAAAAATCAATAAAGCGCGCATGTACACTCCTAAAAATCATATTTTATACGTAAAAAAATATATATTTAATTAAAACCATCGTGTTTTAGTAAATTACAAACGCGCGCGCGTTTACACGAGGCTACAAATTTTCATTTCTCTCAATTACTTAGATCATATAAATCTACTTGTTGTTACTTACGCACGGCGTGTAACTAAAATTTTCTTCTATAACGTAAATTGCAACAAAAATTGTTTTGCTCTATCTTACCACAAAAATATCTTTATATCGGACATACTATAAAGTTTATATGGCTGCATCTTGCGCAGGAAAAGCCATTGAGAAAAACGCTTATTGTATCGCAATAGCTTTACCTACTAAAAACTAGAATAATCATTTTAATAATAAAAGAGCTAAAATGGCTATCTTTTGACGCATCAGAAAAAACACTTTGACGACCTCATTACGAAGAAAACATTTTAGCTGAGCGATGGTGCGACAAAATAATCTTTGGTTTTAGATCTTCTTGAAATAGAGCTCAGGCTAATGAAGAGTGCAATCGAGAATTTCAACGTAACAAAGTAACATACATACTTATACATCATAGCGCATTTTTGTTTGTAGCCAAAAAGTGCTGAATTTCGTGTAAAACAGAATAAGAATATTCCGAGAGTATCTTTTTACACACAGCATTCAAAATGAATCGTCCGTTGCTAAGTTAATCGATGAATTTCTACTGTCGGGAGACTGCATCGCGATGTAGCGTCTTCGCAGAATCTCTTGCAAATCGTTGCACGGACTGTTCTCGCGTTTCACTCGTATAGGATGTCCACCTGGAGATCTGTAAAAGAAATCGGTTTGTTAAAACAGGCATAAAATATATTTTACATTACCTTTGTAAGTTCAGAAAAATTGCATATGAGTCTATACGTGTCCAGCATAAGAACTATCGAAAAAATTCATCAATCAGATCTAAATGAAGAATTATATTAAGTCAATTTGCTTAAGAGAGTATTAGATACAGGTATCTATAGTCGGTATCCAGTTCCTTTTAAACAATTTTAACTGTCATAACGTAATACCTTGCAATTGGCCTCAATTTTACACTATCAATATCCCTAAGCATATCGCCCGTCGATTTCTGCGAGCTCAGTGGAATCTTCTTGCGATCCTCGATCTTGTGATCTTGCAGACTCGCTCTTCTCGCGATATGTGGCGTCGTCGGCGGTGGAAGTGGAGGCGGAGGTGGCGGTGGCACTATCAAAGACTTCCTATCTGCTCCAGGCAGAGATGCAACAGACGCATCTATACAAGCAAACATAAACTCCTTCACACTCTTGTCCCAAAGAACGTATGAAGTATTTTTATACTACATTTGTTATACATACGCTTGGACATTTTGTTAATTTTCACAATGGTTGAAATTTGTTCCCTAAGCTCTTGCAATTCTTGCTCCAGTGCAAGCAACCGTACTTCAGATCCAAAACTAATTGGCTCCAACAGATCTGGTCTGCTGCCAGAAAGTCTGTGCAATGTTAAATCCACTTTGTAAAATATATGTATTGATTAATTAAAAACCTTAATAGAATATATTATTCACCTCACAGGACCATATCCATTTGTATCCATGTAATTGCTACTAGTCTCTTCATTAATCATTGAACTTGTCATCGAGTGCAACGGTGTTACACTGACATATATTTTTGGTGGTGGCTTTAGTGGTAAAAACGAACCGATCCTTCTTACAATGCTTCTCCGCTTTCCGTAATATTTTATATCACCCATCTGTAAAAAAAAGTGATATAACAGTTCTCTTAAAAAACTTTATGTCAAAATAAAAAGATTCAAAAACTAGACAGTTTATATACTTGAAGTAAAAAATTATCTCTACATATTGTATTTATTAACAAATAAAATATCCTGTTTCTATATGTGCACAAAAAATATTTCTTTCCAGAATCAAGTTATTTGATAACAATAATGATAAAATATTCCAAGTGAAATATAACAACAGAATCAAATTGACTTACATTCTATTTGTTTGTGTTTAGTTTACGATTTATGAATATTTTTAATTCCAATTTTAATTTTCCTCAACAAGTTTAGCACATGTACACATATGTATGTATAGACACAATTATATGATGGAAAATTTTACAATATAAATTATACACGAAACAAACAAAATTGCAACGTCAATTCTATCAAAGATTACAAACGTTAAATTCGCTGATTAAATATTATGCAAGTGTTGCAACACATTTGTAACGTGCAATTTGGCATAACAAAATCCTTCACCTTCGTGATCAATTGCAGTTGACCCAAAAATTTCGATCTGTATCGCAGAAATGACAGTACAAAGTCGTGGTGTGACGCAAATGCCTGATAGAGTACATCAGGATTGTGCGAAATTCGAAATTAAAATAGCTCTTTTACATTGACGCAATGCCAACGGAGCTGACACAGCTGACAGGTTGTCGTCGTAACTGCGAAGCGTGGTGTCAGAGTTTCCAACTTCACGAAAAACACGCAATTATCTCTTTTTTTTATGCTTTCCTAGATCTTTATCTTTCTTTTCTTTACTCCTTTTTTTATTGTGCTCCAATTATCTCACGAGCAATTGCTTTCGACCGTTTTTCTATAAACGTGCAATAGCGGTTACGTGAACACGCGCTATTTGTGTTTTAATCTGTAGAAAATAGGTTATACAAAAATGCAACCGCGATGTAACCAACGTTACATGCGATCTATATATATGTCGATTGTTCCATATCTCCACCGTACTCATCTACGTTCAACTGTAAATTCTCTGACTCTTTGAATCGATTTTCCTCTTTATGAAAAAACAAAAAATGTGGCAGTGATAATTTTTGAGTTTTAAAAAAAAAAAGAGAAAAAGACGTTTGAGCCTCTTCCTCGCGCGCAAACTTGTATATAAATTTACATATATATATATATATATATACAGGGTGTTCTAAATAGTGTTACAAGCTGTATTCTCAGAATCTAATACAGATAATAACAAATCTATTGAGTAAATCAGGCCAATCAGCGCCGATCTCAGTCACTGACGTGCACCTGGCGAAAGATCGGCGCCGATTGGCCTGATTTACTCAATAATTACTCCTTTATTATAAATAATAGAAAAAACTGGTTCAGGACTCTGTTCGACTTAGTTTTACTCCTTCTATCTGGCTACGAGATATGTCACACCAATTCTGGGACACCCTGTATATATATATATATATATATACAATATATATGTATGATATAAAAGCTCAAATATATAATAATTTTGTACAAATTATTTAAAATTTCTCTTCCCCAATTAATAAATCTTCGTGTCTTTTTGTCTTTTAACCTATAGTTTTCTTTTTTACACACAAGAAGATACTCTATTTTAAATTTCTTTAAAAAATACCTACAAACAATAAAAAATAGTATTAAAAGTTTTGAGTTGACAGGATTTTATGACTATATATGCGACAATGTACACTAACAAGTATAAAATTTATTTACAGTAATATCATACAGGAAGAATCTAAGGATGTGACAACAAAGATTTATATGAATACTACTAATGAGTCACAATGTTTACACACTTTTCACATGTTTAATATGCAAATAATCACTTAGCATTTTCAATAGATACAAATAGAATCGTCCTCAGACATCAATTAATAGCATCAATGTGGTGAATCGACTAATCAAATTGCTTGACTCTCCAAAGTGACGTCATTAATCGCTCTGAGACTGATTTAATTCATATCGATTAAAAATTCTATAAGAGTATATAAATACATAATAATTTGATTCTCACACTTTATGGTGTTTATCTTACAATATTCATCTACAACTTCATAAGGAGAAACCAATGGATGATGATATCTTCCTATATATTTTGTACTTATGTGTACACGTTGTTATATCTTATAAAGACTAATAGCATTCCTGATAAATGCTTCAGAATCAGAGTCTTTAAGGACTATGACGAGAAAATTAAGAGCACATCAAGGATGCGATATAGAATTTTTGTTCTTATAAAAGATGTTTATACTCTCTCTTTCTACGCATGTTCAACCAGAACATCCCCTGCAACCGCAATGTATGCATTCTACTATGCGGCCTTCCTCGAGTTTGCCTTTTGGCACTCTGCAAATGCAATTTGTGCCAAAATTGGTGTCTCTGGTTTGTATACATCGTAAACAACAAAGATTTTCATAACCAATCTTCTTCCATTTGGCAATTAGATTCTTATCTGCTATATTTTCATTTAGACAATAGTCGTACAATTCTATAACAATACAAATAAACATGATCTATACAGGTAAGAGATAATAGCTTTCTATAATAGTTCTCTCAAACAAAACTATCAAGGAATGTAACTTACCACGGCTGATAGCCTTTCGTCGGTAAAATAAATCATATATGTAGCGAGATTTCTGATGATGTATCTTGAATATCGGCCACAAAGACTCCTGTTTTCGTTTACCCTCATGAGGTTCCGTTTCGGCTGTAAATTAAAATAAATCACAATTAATTTTCCTATAATTTCCAAGAATTTTTTGCAATACGTTCTGTTACGCAACAGTTTTTGCGAATTACTGACAGCGTAGAAAATTCTGGATTCTCGTTGTTTGAGCAATTAACCTAACCTAACAAAAGCAAACTCACCTTCGCGCATCTTTTGTTCCAGTTCTTCCAGAGTGGGTTCAATTAATTCCCAACCCTCAGGCGGCGCTTTTTTACTTCGCCGTACTTTTGGCATGATTCTGTTCGAAAGATTTTATACCTTTATAATCTTTTTGGCAAAGAAAATTTATCTTGTGAAACTTTTGTTACAATCCGTTCGTTCGACCACAGTAGGAATGGACAAAAATCTCACTCGATTATTGGAACATCGATGCTTCTTTTATTACGAGATCGATTGTTCATCCGATGTTTTTATATTCGATTAATGGCTATATCGATATCGATCGAGTTTTTTGTACTCGATGTTACTAAAGTTTACTACTAGAAAAAAACTAGAGTAACATAGGTTAGGTCTAGTTTCCACCGAAGCATTGGGTGCGTTCAGACAACTCAACGGTTGAGAGATCATCACTTATGATAGGACTATTCTTCAAAATCTGCTGCGGTTCCAAAAGTACGATCCAATCAGAAGTGATTATCTCTCAACCGTTGTGCAACTGTTGAGTTGTGTCTGAACGCACCCATTAATTCACACCTAATGCGACGTAGAATCAAAATTTAAGTAGATGGGAACCTGTCAAATTGCGCTGATTTCACTTCCGGTTTGATCTATAAGTATTCCACTTCCAATGGAAACGGAACATTAAATTTGATCTGTACCGGAGTAGAACCGAATTGAGGGTTTCGGTGGAAACTAGACCAATCATATTTTATCTTTTTATTTTCATCTTGCATCGACTTTTTAACAAGACCCTTCTGTTTCTTTTTACTCAAATAGTATGCCTAATATATTAAAGCCCCTTGCACAATGGAAGGAATAGCGATAGCGATAGAAATAACACAGTTTTTAACACAGAGAATTCCAACTCGTCGGAAATTTTATCGCTATTGCTTATTCCGATTTTCTGATCCGCATTGATACATGTGTAGTTTTGTATGTTAGATTCCGCTGTTCCTTACCTTTATTTTTAAATATAAACTCTTTAAAACTTTTGTTATTTCTATCGCTATCGCTATTCCGTCCATTGTGCAAGAGGCTTGTGGGCTGTACGTTCCTAATCTTCAACAGATATATTTAGATCTTGCATTACAGTATCTTTTGTTGGAATTTTGCCAAGTGATGATTTATGAATACTCAGCCGTTGTTTTTGTTCTTTTCTGGCATTTTTCTTGCCACGACTGTGTGATATATGGTGAAAATATGATCAGGTTCTCCGATGACCGGCCCAGTGGTCTCGCGGCCTGAGTGCAGGGGCTGCTGCGAACCCTCTGGAGGTTCCCGAGTTCGAATCCCGCTCACCACCTAAGGATTTTTTCCGGGCCGGTCTCTTTCAACCGAGTTTATCGGTTGATTGGCGAACTTGAATCGGGCCTCCAAAAATTAATTCGGGTGTAATCCTGATGGAGGTCTAAATACACATAATGGACTGGAGCAAATGATGTTGATTGCTTCTGTGTATTAGATGTTTGTTTTGTTGAAGTTGTATTTTCAGAATTTATTTTACATTGCAATCGCTTTTCAGCTGCTCTTGTAATAGTGTGACTTCTTAAGTATAGGAGAACATGTAGAATGGTGAACAATACCAACTATAAATGGAGGTTTTTTATTACGAGCTTCTAATTTTTTCTTTTTCTCACGCTCTTCTTTCCATTTCATCAATTTTTTCTTTTGACGTTCAACTTTGGTATTGATTACATCTTGTACCAATTTCTTTGTACGCTTATCTGCAATGTTAAATATATCTATTAAAAATAATGGAAGTTTCTGTTATTAAATAATAGATGTAAGTAAATGTTCAGTATAAGAAAGGATGTTTCGAGATGACCTTGATCTTGACATATGTTTGTCAAGGACATATTCCTGAGTAACAATATAAAAGTTTTAGCCATCGCTCATTTTTTATTAAAAAAGTTATTAGCAAGAAACGTTTGAAAAAATCATGGTACTTATTTTTAGTAATAACATGTAGAGAATATTACAAAATAGAATACGAATATTTTTCCCTTTTTATTATGACGTTCTATAACGTTCATAAGCTAGCTACTTAAGATACAATACAATATTACCGTACTATTTCAATATTATATATAAATGTAATATATTGATAATATTATTGTAATATTGTATTATAATATCTAATATTACTAGTATATTGCAATGT